TGCATAACATTATGTTTCGTAAACTTCCAGTATCCCGTGGTGGCTTCTGGATGTTGCGGCTGTGGTGCAGTTTCATGAAGCCATTCTCGCACTACGACGAGTTCTGTTAGCAGCACCGACGAATGCATGATTGCTTGTGCTAGTGTTGATGTGGGTGTGTAAGGGTTTTTGACGAGTAATGTGCGGGGATGGATGTGTGGTTCTGGTTCAGTTTTGCGGGCACTGCAGTCGACTTGAGTTAAGAACCAGTAGCAAGACGCGTTCACTCACGGCATTACAGCCTGGAGAAGGCCCCACGTGTTGGCCTCCATGCGTAAGACGTCGAGTTCCTCCTGAGAGACATCAGAAGACGCGCTATTCTCTGCCTCTGTGATTCTGGTAACTGGTGAGGTGCGCTCCACTGAGAAGACATTTGATACACACTGGTCGCGACACAATTGTCGTAGTCTAGGCGCAAATCCGGTATTGGGATCGAGGAGAGCAGCAAGGTCATCTTTTGCAGCCTGGCACACGGAGAGGACTTCCGCACAAGACGAATATAATGATTCGGACATTTCTCCAGATTTTGAAGATTGTGTTGAACTGGTCGAACGCCGAGAGTGTCCTTATCTACTCGAGGCCGGCAGCTACCAGTTCAGGTTCTAAGCCTGGGCCTGATTGCTTAAAATTGAACTGGCGGGAGACTAGTCGTGTTCTCCCTAAGTGCGAGGAACGAGCACGTGGTTAGAACGTAGTCTATGCCATTTCGGGTAGGAAATGTGCACGCCTTCCTTCTTCTCCCCGTCACCCAGCCTCCAGCGTCATAACTGGTGTTTCAATCTTCTAGTTGATTCTGCCTTTAAAAGCAGTAGCAGCAGACCGCAATAAGTGGAAAGCTTAATATTCAGTAATATAACATGGACAGGTTACATTCTGATCCAAGTTTTTAGTATGCCCAGACTTTATGACCGAACGGTATAGAGTCAGCTGCACCAGCATGGTCAATGCCAATGTCACGGAAGCTCAAGCAGCAGAGACTCTCCGCAACATCTGGATAACGACCAACGAAGATTTGTGTCTACAATGGCATCAACAAGTCGTAGAAGATGAACGTTTGAATGCTGAGAGGCGCCGCTTAGCTGAAGAAGAAGCAGAGTGGCAGAAGGCTGTACTTGAACTTGAGGAAGCCACAATGAGAGCAGACGAGAGAAAGAAAAATTGTTTCAAGCATTTGCCAATTCCAGTGTGACCATGTCCACTCGTCAATGACGAAGAAGCTTTAGTTTCCAAGTTCGCCTTGAGAAAGTTGGACAAGGGTCATTATGTCGAACTATACTATTGGACCAATCACGGTCTCAAGGATGCAATGATCAATTATTGCACCCGAGATGACAACAGTATGGTACCTACCAAGGGCGAGGATGGTTCCACAGTCTGGATCAACGCGGCGTCATCAAAACCCGCCTCAAGAGTCATTCCAGATCGTAACCTAGCACCAGCTGATTTCTCTCAAGCGGTACCACACATAGTAGCAGCGCTAGAAGATCGAGATTGGGCTCAGCAAAGAGTTTTAATGTTAGCGCAGTTTTGGGGAGCTATCATGGTTCATCGCTATTGGAACTCCCGCGATATGTTGGCTCAGAAGGCCATTCTCTTGTTCCAAGAAGAACAACATTGTGCGTGGCACAGCGCCATCACTTTGGCCAAAGGAGCATGGGACATCTTGGTCATTGACAAGATGGCCCTAGCATGCACCTTTGAGCGAGTTTATCAGTCATCTCTCATCCGCTCAGACAACCCGAGGCCAAACCCCCAGGTATGTAATTTGTAGCCATTTCGAAGCAACCCATCACTGATTGTTTTTCTTCATTTTAACTCATCGCGATTATCAATGTCATTGATAATTCTCTACATTGGTGTTACCTTCTGTCTCGTGCGTTTGCCTTATGCATTATTGTGTGTGCTGTTTCGAAATCTTGTGGTTGCGTTGGCGTTTATCAATTTGCGATTGCAGTCACCTGCATTCTAATCTCATGGCCGTTTACCATCAGATTCAGATCCAAGGCAATAGTTCTCGAAGTGGGCAGGGTGAACAACCCTCCCACAAGCATTCGAGATGTTCAAGGCGGTCCATGTCCCCACAACCTCGGTGTTGCTCAGCTTCTCCTGGAACCAATAAGAAGAGTAGTGGAGTGAGAAACTCTCAGGCACCTGCACACCAATCGGGTTTTCAAGACAGTGTACATGGCCATCGTGCCCCAGCTGTGTGCGCAGTCTGCCTGGGGTGTCATGGACACAGTTTCATCGAGTGCACTGCCGAATGTCTGTGGGACAACAACTTCCCAGCTGTTGCCACTCGCTCCAACAAAGCTCTCCTTTTGCAAGGTTCAGACAAACCACTATGCGTCGACTGGCAGCGCACACGAAGCTGCTCCAGTCGACAGCACAATGACCAACATGTGTGTTCAGGATGCTTGGCCACATCTCATGGAGCCCAAGCTTGTTCTCAAGTGCAGGCAACACCAGCCGGTCACCCCATATAATCACACAATATGGGAGAGTCAATTTCGTGCTCATAACCTTATCGACATCTATCCAACTTTACCAGCAGGACTTCAGTCAGGTTTCAACATCAACATCCCCAGCATTCGTCATACTCAATCCCCACCTAATAGCCCCTCGCTCATCACCTTTCGGTTCGCCTTTGAGACTATCTTGGACCATGAACTTACCACAGGACGTTATATTGGTCCCTTCACGCACGACGATCTACTACATCTTCTGGGTCCCTTTCAGTCCTCTCCCATCTCCATTATACCCAAACCAGGGAAGCTGGGCAAGTTTCGCATCATACAGAATGTTTCCTTCCCCCTGGTCCCTTCTACAATCTATCCCAACAGGTCAATCAACTCAAGCATTAACTCCGATGATTTCCCATGCACTTGGGGCATGTTTGACACCATCTGCACCATCATACGATCACTCCCACCAGGGTCCCAAGTGGCCACACACGATGTGGCAGAAGCATATTATACCATTCCTTTGCATGCCTCGCAATGGGCAGCTGCAGTGGTCTGTCTCCCAGATGGAGACTTTTGCATCGACACATGTGTCACCTTTGGCATGGGACCCTCTGCAGGTGCCTATGGCCACATCGCAGATGCTGGTGTTGACTTACTATGAGCTGCAGGTCTGGGTCCACTCGCCAAATGGGTGGACAACCACATCTTTTTTTGCATTCAACGAGAACATCTCCTCAACTACAATGCACACAGGAGCGCTGTACATACTCTCCTGGACATTGGAGGACGAACGCAAATGGGAGGGCGGTTGTGGCACAAAGGCAAGGTGTTTGAGGATGACAGCTTCGAAGTCCATGCCGAAGATTGTAGGTTCCCGCTTCGTGACCTATCACAATCCTCCTTGCGGGCTGACATTGACACAGAATTTGCATTCGCCTTTGCAGACATTGATTGCGCCTCCTTACCATTGGGTATCCCTTGGGAACCGACCAAGGATTCAGTCTTCGCCTTCGTGGCGTTATACCTGGGCCTGGTCTGGAACCTCATCAAACTTTTGGTTGAATTATTGTTGGCAAAGAAGAATAAGTACTCTGCAGCCATCGCAGAATGGCAATTGAAGCCCATGCATGTTCTCCTTGAGGTCCAATGGCTCTATGGCAAACTACTTCATTCCTGCCTGGTGGTCCCAGCAGGATGCACTTACCTCACCACATTGGAAACCATGCTCGGAATCTGCACCAATCATCCTTTCATGCCACACCACTCCGTTTGCCACCTCAATGATGACCTTGACTGGTGGCGAGCCAAGCTCGCACAATCACACGTCCATTGCTCAATCTCACAACCCTCCTCTCTCATTGACATTTGTGCATTCTCCGATGCCAGCACATCTGTCGGAGTTGCAATTACTCTCGATGGGTACTGGCATGCCTGGACCCTGCATCCAGGGTGGTCAACTACTTGACAGCCAGCGAGACATTGGATGGGCTGAATGCGTGGGATTTGAGCTCCTCATCCACACCATCCTTAACAGCCACGAAGCGCATTCCTCCAACCACTATCACATGTTCTGCGACAATCAGGGAATTGTCGATGGCTGGAAGAACGGTCGCAGCAGGAATTGGGCCACTAACCTCATCTTATGTCGAATCCATCAACTCCTTGACTCAGTTGGGAGGGGAACTTCATTCCATCTGTCCTATGTTGCCAGTGCCAACAACCCTGCAGATGGCCCCTCTAGAGGCATCTTTCCCCCTCATCGTTTCCTCCTTCCACCCATTATCCTTCCTGGCGACCTCTCAAAGTTCCTCATTGATGCCGACCTATCAGCCACACCCCTTAATACCCTCATCATCAATCAGAACCTGAGCTCTGATGAGCTGGTTGTCGAGGCAGACAACTGGAACTGGGGCGATCAACTCTGCAAGTTCCATGATGCTTGGTGGGACTAGAACCTCCCATTTCCTCGACACTCCACCAATTGTTCCAACGACCACAGTAGCACAGCTGCGTCCCTACAAACCTATGCTAACCCCATCAACTTCAGTCCTGAGACCACACTGTCTGGCTCGAGATCGACTAAGGTTATGGGTACCCACAGTATCGCGTTCACGCTTAGATCACACTGGAGCTGTGGTTGCAATCTCAGAGGACAACCTAGACCGTATACTTGTTGTCATTGTGCACTCACACGCCCCAAGCATGAGAGAGACTTACAGCTCTGGTTTGTTAGTTTTTCATGTATTTTGTGATTCACGCAACATCGCCGAGATACAGCGGTGCCCGGCTCCCTCGCTCCTCATCCTTGCCTTCATCGCTTCTTGCGCAGGGATGTACTCTGGAAGAACACTCGAAAACTATCTATATTCAGTACGTGCATGGCATTTGCTGCACGGTCAGCCCTGGTTGGTCAATCACAACCAAGTCTCATTAGCGCTGGAGGGTAGCAAACGGCTTGCACCAGCGACTTCGACTCAACCAAAGCGAACCCCATTCACAGTGGATCTCATCAAAGACTTATGCTCCATGCTAGATCTCAACACGCCACTTCATGCAGCGGTCTACGCATGTCTCACTACCTCCTTCTTCACCATCGCAAGGACAGGAGAGTTCATGGTACCAACACTGTGGGGCTTCAACCCGTTGGTACACGTGAAAGTAGGTGACATGAGGAATGAGAGAGATCGGAACGGTTTCGAGGTGACAGTCTTTTGTCTGCCACATACTAAAGTCGCAATCACCAGAGAAGAGGTGTTCTGGGCAGCACAGTCAGGTGTTGTCGATCCTCAAGTGGCGCTCGCGAACCACCTTGCCATCAACAAATTGTCCTCGACGGACGCACTCTTCAGCTGGAAACATCATGCAGGCACATGACCCTTGACGAAGACCCAGTTCCTCAAGTGTCTACAATCAGCAAGTGATCGTTTACGCGGCGACTCATTGAAAGGGCATGGGATCAGAATTGGTGGGACTTTAGAGTATCTACTACGAGGCGTGCCTTTCGAATCGGTCAAAACCATGGGCCGCTGGAGCAGTGATGCTTTCCTCATCTA